CGCTGCCGGGGGCTGGTCCTGGGCTGCCCGGGCGCCGTTTGGGTCAGGCTTTTTGTCTTCTCGTCCGCTTTTTCCTTTTTATTTTTCCCCCTTTTTTCCTTTTTAATTTTTTTTTTTATTTTATTTTCCCGCACCCCTGCTGTTCTTTCCATGTAGCAAAGCATCAGCAAAGCCGGGGCGCTGCAACGCTTTCGGGCCTACACGCAATGATTACTTGCAACTTCTCCAACTTTCCTCTTCTGGTGTTTGTGCAAGATCAGAAAAGATGAGTCTGTGGGCAAATGTCAGAGGGAACTTGCTCATTTTTTCCTCTCTCTTGCAAAGCTCTGCCCTCAACCTGGGGTGCTCGCCTAGAGCCAGAGCCGGGGGAGGCTGTTGAGATCTCCTCTGCTCTCGCAAGGAAAGGCTCAGGCACGGATCATATTGTCTCTCTGTGCTTCTGGAGTCGTGTCTGGTTCTCAGTTGTCACTTTAGATGGCTGAACGTCCCTGTTTTTCTGTGTAGCGGGAGCAGTATGTTTAAAGATTCAATTAGTGTTTTGCAAATCAAGCAGTGAAGTTATTCAGTTTAATTATGTTGCATTTAATTAGCAGAGAAAAATCAATGCTGTTTTGTATTTTTTATTGTAAGGAATAGCTAGGCAGTTTCCAACTGGGGAACGTAGCGTAGAGGTCTGAGTCAGGGCGTGGGAGGTACAGCGTTCAAGCTTTCCAGGACAGCAGCCACCCGTTTAGGAAAGATTCCTGTTTCAAAGGAGTAAAGTTGGTAGCAGTGCTTTCTGGTTTTGATCATTCAGTCCTGGTTTGTTCTGGCTTCTGCGCTGCACTGTATACGAATATGTTCTCCTGCGATAGGGGTTCTGGAGCAGCCGCCAGGGATAAGCAGACTGGCTGCCTGGCAGCCGGCTTTTAAGTGCAGTACGTAGGCATGTTTCCAGCTCGTAGCGCTAAGTTACTGTCTCACAAGCGTGCATCACATCATGGGACAAATGTTACTCCAGAAATATCATAGGTTAATCTGATGCACGATCCCTTACATAGAATCGCAACATAACGCTTTGCTTTGGGATTCTGGCTATGTCTTTTCAATGCTTACTGGTATATCGCTGCAACTGTTTGTCTGGGAAGTGGGGAACTGAGTAAGGAAGGTGTTAGCAGCATATGTAGACCTGGGGCCAGCTCTAAAATAATTGCCACTTGTTTATGCTAGAGGTGAATTTGGCTTGGGATTTTAGTAACTGCTGATAGTGCTATAGACAGTAATTACAGATGTATAAATAAGTGATCACGTTTTGTTTATTCGCGTGCAGTAAATAACCCTGTGAGAATAGTAAATATAACTCCACACCAGCGAAGCAGCGTGAAGAGTTCAAACGCGGGAAGATGACTCTGTAGACACACACAAACGCAGTGCGGTTCCATAAACAATAGAACAGAAAGGCCAAAAATACCATACAAAAATCATACGCTGCGCAACCTAGAGACCCGACCTTGCAACACACTGAACTCCCATTGAAGAACTCAAGACATCATGCAGGATCCATCCCCAGGTCAGTGCTGTAAATGTACAGTTTTGAAGATGGAGTGGGTGAAGCCTTGATGTGGAGGCACTCTTTCTAGTGGGTGTGTATCGTAGTGATGATTTGCTGAACAAGAGAAACTGTAAATCTGGGAAACTGTCCTCTTTCAACTGCTTGTACTTTCGTTTCTGGAAGAAGGGTATTTAAAAAAAAATTAAATCCAGTCCAAATATAAACTGGAGGAGAAGAGACAGGGAAGGGGAGGGAAGGAGGGCTGGAAGCCAGCTGTTTCAGTGCAGTACAGTCTTGATCACTGTTTCTGGATGTTTGAACTTCTGATTGACACAAACAGTTCAGTTAATAGCATCACCGAATAAACACAGTCTGTAATACCGCAGTAATTCTGGGATAGTATTTGTCAAAATGTATACAGTAGCAGAACAAAGCATACAGAGTCATGAAACAAACGCTATGAGGTCTAAGGTCTGCGTATTTGTGTACATTTGAAATTGTTTTTTTTCTTATGGGAACGGAAATACATGCAAAACCCATTATGTTGTAAATAAAATAGGCTGTTGCCTGATAACAAGCCATCTTGACAAACTTGGAAGTTGGCTTGGGCTTTGGTTTGACGCTCATGTTCATCTAGTCAGGCTGCTGGGAAAAGAAGTGTTACCTTATAGGGTTAGATCCCTAGAGATCTTACATACATCTGCTCCCTGGGTCCTTAAATGAAACACCTTGTCGGCACTTAATAAAAAACAATAGTAAATGATTAGAAATAACAGCTACCATCTTCTCCACCAAGAAGAGCGGACAGGGCTCAATCTGGAGCCTCTCTGTACTGTTGTTTAATCAACAGAAGGGTCACTGTAGAGCGATTCAGAGCACTGCTTTGGAGTGAAGGGGAGCCATCTGGTAATGTAGAGTGAGACAGTATATTTTGTTTTCACTAGTATTAGACCGCCTGTTTCGTTAGGCTCCAGCCAGGAGGCTTCCAAATACTTTTTGGAAGCAGAATCCCCATTAACTTGAAGAGAAGGAATGGCACCCAGTGTGGGTTTTTCGTGACTGTAAACTGTGACTTTTTGTCTTCACTTGCAGGAGATACTTGCTCTCACCCTAGTTAGTCTTACAGTTTTGATCTAAAATCCAAAATAGGGATGCCAAGAAAGAGTGGGGATGGTCACAGGTTCTGCTTGGCTTTCCTGTTACCATGGCAATGCATGAATTCCTGTGTTTATTTACCTGGTGGATTACGTGCTCCAGGGAGTTGAACTATTCTGCGTCGCTCAGGGAGAATAAGGGAGCAGTTAGACACCATCAGGTCCAAAACAAAAGCTCTTCCATGAAGCAGGTCCATTCGAGAATGCCCTTTATTAAAACCAAAGAACATATGGGTGCCATACTTTGAAGGTTTATTCTACTTGATGTTTTCAGTCTTAATCTTGTAATTTCTTGCAGGGTTTTCATATCCCACGTAAGCTTGCTTTTTCAATAGCTGTCTGCTAAAGGCTGTTTGAGATAACTGTTTCAAGCATTAGCTACCTGGAGTGCAGTCAGTTATCTCTGTCCTGCTCAGGACTCAACTGGATGTGTTTATTCCCAGCAGACTGAAAATGCTGTTGTCTTCACCTTTTACTCATCAGCATTTCCCTGATAAGCAAATTCATCTCTGAAGTCTCCTCCTTTAGTATTGGTGGTATAAACATCTAGGGGTAATCCCAGGAGAACTCTGTTCTTAAGGAAAATGGCAAAACGGAAGAAACAATTCAGGAGGCCAGCTTATTCCCGTCTTTATAGGAACTTAATGTTTGTTCAGAGTCCTCCACGCCAATTTACATGATTCTGAATTATGCGTCTGTCAATGTTTTTGTATTAATGTGAAGTTTCCCGGGGAATCTTACTTTTGGGGAGGATATGTTTTGAACTGTTATCATCTCTTGGATCATTCTATGGAAATTATCCTGCATGTTTTTTACACTTGTACAGTTTTCTGCAGTTTCTCTTTGTCTAAGGTCTGCTTAGGTGAGTTACTAGGGAGAACTCTTTCTCAGTGCAGCTGTGCGTTCACCACCGTACCATGTTCTTCAGTATACGTGAAGGCTTTCAGGTTAGAAGTTTTGCAGTTGACCAGTGTAAGTGCTGCTCTACTGGTGGTTTTCAAACGAAGTAAAAATTCTCTGTAAAACTTGTCCCGGAATCTGAAAATTAAACTCTTCTAAAGACTCACTTCACAACCCTAAAAATTCAGTTCCAAGTCTTCCTTACTTGGGCTTTTAGCACCGACTGCATTTCCTACTGTATGCCCCTCGGATAGTGACATTGCACGTGTGTTTTCTTGTAACTTGTTTAAAAAGCATCAACAATTCAGTCTTGTTTTGTGTAGAGGCAAAATACAGGTACGAGGTGATCGCTATTTAGTGTTTCCTACAAAATGGCACAAAGAGCAGAATTTTGCATTTTTTCTAAGTCGGCATAGGCTTGACAGGTGTTCTGTTGCATAGCTTCAAGACTGGAGCGTTCAGAAATGCAGCCTGTGGGATAACTGCTGCAAGATTGAGATGGGCATAGCAGTTGTAAGAAGGAAGTGGACAAGGAGTGGAGAAAAAAGACAGCTGAAGTCTACTGGAATGTGAAGCAGCTGGGTTGTGCCTTAGTCAGTGAAAAAGCAGAAACTGGAAACAATTGCTAAATTTATTTTCAGTGCAAGCAGTCGTTTTCTTTGAACCGCAATGACTAAATATATCTATTGGTGTGATTTTTATGTGGTGGTAACTCTTACTGGCTCTTGCTAACCTCCTGGCAAGCAGAGAGATGGGTGGATGTTCGCTGTCAGTCAAGATCGTAACGCAAATGTCCCTCATCCAGGTCCATTGCTTCACTTGCAGAGAACATTTCCTATTTGTAAGGGACCTGGTATCCATCGGCATGGCTTTACTTGTTGCAATGAGTGGAAGAAACCTGGTATCTGTTCCTAGGGAAGGGAGTATATCTCTAACTGCTTTTCAAGGCTTCCTTGGGGTTTTGTTCATCTTTTTGGAAGTTCTGAATTGTCGTTGATACCTCAGCTGATATTCTAATAACTCTGTCTGTAAGCGCATCTGTGCTGTATTGGAAAGACTCTGATGCAGAGGTGTGGGTCTTTTTTAAAAAACTATACATTAACTCCTTATTTATTCCAAAGTTGAAAGCCTGTGGGTAGAATTGGCAAAACGAGCCATGCTGTTGACTTACAAATCCTTTCAAAGGAGAGCATTCGATTCCGAAGCCTGCAGCATCTTAACTGCAAGTAGACAAGTAGAGGAACATGAAATGTTAACTTTCTAGACTTTATTTTAAAGAAACTAGAGAGATGTTTTACCTTTCCCTGGCAGAGGCATTTGATGGCTAATCAGATTTAATTCAAGCACTCAATCATTATGTGTATTACAGGAGATGTCTGGATAGTTCTCAGTTGGGCTACTGAGAGGTGACAGCTCTAATTGTTAGTTATCATACCGTTTAATTTGGAAGATCCTTGTACCCCAGCGAAGGTAAGATGATAGAGAGCATCTCCTGTCTTTATGCCAGATATACAACATAGTTGTTGGAGTTTTATTAAAAACAACAAATTACATGTCAGAGCTACAGGTAAGGTGATTTGATAGCCGCCTTCCTCTCATGCTCCTCACCACACATGCAAATCATCCCGACATTCTTCTGCTGAAACTAGAGATCTGGAGTTTTGGGGTCTTTTGCCGGTTTGCAAAGCTGTTGACCTCTGTGTGCTGTCGCTTAGCAGTGAAATGAATCCGTCCAGTCTGTATTCTTCCTGTGGAGCCTTTACATTATCTGGAGAAAAACCTGTGCATGGAGAGGGATCCTTCAGCTTCTCAAATTTATGACAGAATAGGCTTTTCTCTCTGAAAACAATCGAAAATTTGTTGTTCTGTAAGTGCCTGAATATTTGGGAAATGCTGCTTTGGTGTTACAGCTGTCTTTTTTTATTAACGTTAGCAAACTATAGGATTCAGCCATTGTCATGGAAGCAGTGTGGAAGGAGTATTAAAATCATGTAGCTATTGCAAGAATGTTAGCTTTGTTATTTGTCAGTTTTGTCTAAATAACCAAAGCTTGGCTTTCATGGTGTACAGTTGAGAAATACTGGAGAGCATAATGGGATGAGGGGATGGTAACAGAACAGTGTGTCGTTCTCGGGGCTCTCGTAGAGATTAGAGGAAAAGGGAGAGCTGGTTGGAGGAAAGCTAGATTTATTCACCTTTGCAAGTTTGGATTTGCAGCCCCAGAACTCCAAGGTGTATAAAAAGGTGGCCAGAGAAGGAAAAAGGGACATCACAAGTGGAGATGTTGATGGAATGGTTGGAAAGACCAGAAAAGGAGCGAGAGGACGGGCAAGCCCTGGATATTAGAAGAGGAGGGAACGGTGGGCCAAGTTGTGCGCAAGTAGAGCAGATAGGAAAAGGCAGATGGATGACAAAAAGGGAAAGCGGACAAGGAGGAGGCTCCCGGCGGCTTTCACGGGAGTCTGTTCCAAAGCAAAGAGACAGAAGATGGATTTCAGCAATCCGGAAAAGCTGCAGGAATCCTGCAGGTTGGGACGTGCTGCCAAAGGAATGTTCTGCAGTTCTGCTATTTGCGTTACTGCAGCCTGACAAATTTACAGCTACATTACCTGACCCAGAGCATCCGATCTCACAAATACATTTCAGATCTCTTCTTGTGGTGGATGACATTGATGCTGATAGAGGAAACGATTTCATCTATGTGAGAGAGAAATTATATCCCCGCATATCCGTGAAGCAACCTGAGAAAGTCGATGGATCAGATTATTGGTCTACTTTTATTTGCATTGCATATTTCAGTTAAAGCTCTTCAGCTTTGAAACAGTCTCTTGATGTTAAATCTGTTTGCTGTTTTCGTTGCTACCATGGCTCACCTTCTCTGGAGTTTGTAAGATAATGTTTTCATGTTGAGAGCAAGGAAGAAGTGAATAGAAACAAGTATAAGAAAAAGATGGTCTGTATCAG